CAGTTGGAGGCAGTCGTCCTCCAATAACAACGGAGGGCAGAGGAGTGATGCTCACAAAGAGCGGATCGCTGGACTGGCTAAAATGCAGCGAGTTGGCATAGTAGGGGCACATCTGATGTATCTGCCAGTCATCTCAGTCAAGCCATGGCACCTGGGTCTGTCCTATGACCTGTCAGCGAGCCTTCAACACTTCACGTGGCCTCAAAGTGCACCTGGCCTGGCACAGGCACTGTGATGACGTTACCGCCACTTAGTGGTGAATGGCGACTGTTGTACTACAATCTGTAGTGGAAGGAGACATTGGTGTGAGGCGGTTATTCTGAGAATACTTGCGTGAATTGTGATTTACTGGTTAGGTATTAAAATAGTTGTAGGTGAATTGCTCGTATTCATTTGTTTTTTTTAAAGTTGTGTGTGAATTGTGATAATTGTTTCTTTTCATGCTTTTGTTATTTTTTCAATGTTTAGACAGTATGTAGATATCCAAAAGCCTTTCACAATCAAGTACCACAAATTATTCTGAACCTACAGTAAGTTTATTCTGCCTCTGTATTGAGTTTGTTTTATTTTATCAGAATTCTTGAAGTGTTCACACTGCATTAATCCAGCAGTCATACAATCTGCAACTAAACGAAGGGTTTGTAAGAACTATTTGCTTTGGTTGGTTGGAATCAAAAGCATAATCTATTCAAGCAATCTGCAGATCAGGAATCAAATCTGGAATCGACTCTAAAAAAATGGAATCGGCTATCCCCAATGTGTAACGTGAGGGTTGGCGGATCACACACAAATGGGCTATCAAACTCCCTTCCTGTGGGCATCGCCGAGGAGCCCTCCCCAAGGCTCGCCAGGTAAAGGCAGCAGTACAGGAAACAGCAAGCGGGCTAACCCGCCACCTGTGTCCATCTGTACGGGAATAGAGTTGTGTCCCCTCACGCACGTGCTCCGGTTTCCTCCTGCTGGTATAAACAATCATTATTAATAGGCTGGAGACCTAAATAATTATTTTTATATTATATAAGTGTAGTGGATCCAACTGAGTCGCAGACGTTGTTCCTTTTAAAGGCAACACTTTTATTTGTAACACCGTAACACCGTAACACAAAAGGGGTAACTGCCCCTTTGCCAGACTACAGCGAGTTACTGCTACAAAGGGTTGATCCCTCACTCGGGTCTCCGACCACGTGGTTGCCTCGTAAGACGGAGAGCTTCAGCTTGAGACGTAGAACTTCCCGCTTGTAGATGTGGAGCTTCTAGCTTGTAGAATGCAGCGACCCTGGTCCCTCTCAGGGATCCGCCTTATATCCCTCTCCGGTTGGGGCCGCTCCACCCTTGGCCCCGCCCGCCTTCCCGAACATTCTCGTTCCCTGTCCATCCTTCTCAAGAGCTCTCTCCGGACACGTGATCACCCCCTAGTCCCCCCACCCGCAGCCCCCTGTATGGACATTCCGGATCACGTGTCTACGTGGTCAACCAGAGTGCCTTGGCCCGGGGCAACCCTGCCCCTGGGCTGACACTCACCCCCTCCCCCTCGGGGGAGCCCCCATCACACGCTGTGCGTGGTGCCCGCACTATCCCAGTGCTCGCCAAGCCCCGCTAGGGCTGGTATTACACACAGCCACCCACACGGTGCTGTCCATGATGTAGGAACATTAAACGGCATGACCCTTCTGGGCCGGCACCATTCACAAGTGTCTGGTTATGTTGCCTTAAACCAGTGGTTCTCAACCATGTTTAGCTACCGTACTCCCCCTTGTTGAATTTAGTTTCAACAGTCATACCCCCTTGCCTGACCCAACATGGTTATCTGAGAAATAAATGTATGAATAATGAACATAAATATTTTAACAAATTCTCAATTGGTATCCTAACTAGCTTAGAAACTGCAAGAGAATACAACAAAAATCAATAGACGCTCTGCGTGCGTGACATAATGTATGAAAAAATAATAGGTACCCTTTGGCAATAAAACAGGTGTTAAGATGTTCAAACACCAAATAGAAATATTTTCCAAGGAATCATGTCTGAACCAAACCACATTTACTTGTGGTGAACATACAAACAAAAACGTCTGATAATATAAGCATTGTCTTTAAAACTGATTGGTCTACACCAGAGACGGACCAATCTCACCAGTGTCAGACCAGAGAATGCCAAAAAGACAGAAAGGTAAAAACCTATTCTTATTTTATCATAATTTGATTCTGGCAAAAAGGCCCCATTTTGATATAATATGTTCACACTCGCCTGTTACTCTTGGAAACCCACATTGTTTACAATCAATGAGTTTTATAGCGTCCTAGGTTACCATATTGATTTAAATTGCACCCTACTTATTTTGTATTGGTAGATCCTTGCGCGCTTATTTACCAATGACTCTCACCGTCTTACCTATGTTATTGTGTCTGTGCGGACGAAACTTGCGAAGGATTTGACTCGCAAACCGTGGGGTTTACGTTTAAAAAAAAGTAGCCAGGTACCACGCCATAAGCCCCGTGGTGAGCCAGCGCTATTCCATTTTCTCATTCATCAACTTGAAAGTAGTTAAATGAACAATGAATAGCTATTTATTATTTATTTACTTACGCCGCCCTGCGAGCACCAAAGCACGCATTCGCACATGCGCGACAAAGCTGACCGGGGGTTGCCCCTAGCAACCCACACACACGATCCGTGGAGGGGGAATTCTCATTCACGTTAAAAATGCTATAAAATACACACAACGCTGAGGTTAATTCTTCACAGTGTGCTGTCCTGTTCTCCCCCCCGACCCAAAAGCTCAATGTGTGCAGTTACTACTATAGACTCGGTAGATGCTACTACTGTAGGCCGTAGATACTACTGCAGAGCGTGCGGGGGGATCGTGGGTGGGGGGGGGTTCGGGCTAGCAGTCCAACCCCAGCCTGCCAAGGTGTCACCTCGGCTGGCTGGGCAATCTAGATGAGGCCGGGGACTCTGCACGGGACTAGGCCTCACCACGGCACTGTTAAATAACTACTATTTTCTTGCTTCTTTCGCTAAACTCATGTAGATAGAAAACTTTTATTTAAAAAATTCAGTTAGGAAATATTAAAATAATGTGTGTGTGTAGACAACTAATATTTGAATATTTAGTTCGTAAATCTTATAATAAGTCCACGTGTGCATGTGAGCCGATGTGTGTGTCTGTATCGATGTGTGTGTGTACGTCCATGTGTGTGTATAAGTCGATGTGTGTATGCAAGTCGGTGTGCAAGTCGATATGTGTGTGTGCGTCGATGTGTGTGTGTATGTCCGTGTGTGTGTGTATAAGTCGATGTGTGTGTGTGTGCAAATCAATGTGTGTGTTAGTCAATGTGCGTGCGTGGTGTGTGTAGACAATTAATATTAAAAAATTAAGTTAGTATTATTTACAATAATGTGTGTCTAGGTCCATGTGTACACGTGAGTCGATGTGCGTGTCTGCGTCGATGTGTGTGTGTAGTCGATGTGTGTTGGTGTGTGAGTCGATGTGTGTGTGTGAGTTGATGTGTGTGTGAGAGTCGATGTGTGTGTACGGCCATGTGTGTGTGTATAAGTCGATGTGTGTGTGAAAGTCGATGTGTGTGTGAAAGTCGATGTGTGCGTGCGTTAGTCAATGTGTGTGAGTCGATGTGTGCACGTAAGTCCATATGTGTGTGTAAGTTGATGTGTGTGGAAGTCGATGTGTGTGTGAGTCGCTGTGTGTGAGTCCATGTGTGTGCAAGTCGATGTGTGTGTGCGAGTCCATTAGTGTGTGTGCATCGATGTGTGTAAGTGCATATGTGTAAGTCGATGTGTGTGGGAAGATGTATGTGTAAGTCCATGTGTGTGGATCCATGTGTGTAAGTCGATGTGTGTGTGTAGGTCGATGTGTGTGAAAGTCTATGTGTGTGTGTCAGTCCATGTGTGTGTCAGTGTATGTATGAGTCGCTGTGTGTAATTCGATATGTCTGCATGTAAGTCGATGTGTGTGTGAGTCTGTGTGTCGTCGATGTGTGCGTGTGTGGGTCCATGTGTGTGTGTGTCTATGTGTGGGGAGCGATAGTGTAGCGGTTAGCGCGCTGCGCTATGAACCCGGCAACACGGGTTCGATTTCCGCTCACGGCCAACACCAGTGACGATTATCTGAACCGGTCCTGGGCCTCCCCTAGGTCGACTCAGCCTCAAATGAGTACCTGGTGCAGTGTGTAAATATTGCCAGTAGGGAGATAAAGGCGGTCGGGCGTGGTGCTGGCCACCCACCCCCTCGTGTATCGTTCCGGCCTTCATAGGTGCTCGCTAACAGCACTTGCCCCTACAGTTAAGGCTATATGGGGGATATTTGTCTTATCTTTGTGTCTATGTGTGTGAGTCGATGTGTGAGTGTAACTCCATGTGTGCGTGTCTAAAGTCGATATATGTGAGTCCATATGTGTGTAAGTCGACGTGTTTGTATGTGTGTGGGTCGATGTCTGTGTGTGTGTGTAAGTCGATGTCTGTGTGTGTAAGTCGATGTGTGTCTTTTTTCGCCCGGGCAACGCCGGATACCTCCCGATAGTACGATATAATTTAACACATTTATAAATCACCTCACGTACCCCCTGAGGTCCGCGTACCCACGGTTGAGAACAACTTCTGTATTGCATTAAGGAAATTTGCAAAGTTCTGTAATAATGATGATGCAAATTTTTATATTAATTGCGCACAGCGCGTTGCTACTACGGTGGAAATAAACAAAAGCTCGTAAAGCTTTTGCCGCGCGAACCTGTCAACCGCACCAGATCCTTGCCCATCGCGGACTTGACCCCTCGCGGATTTGACCCCTCGCGCCAAATGCATTGAGGTTCCACGGAGCTCGCCGACGGCGCCCCGCCCCCCGTGGCTTCGACCCCTCGCGAGCCGCCGTTGCGCCATTGCTGCGACGGCGGCGGCGGCTTCTGAAAGTGACCGCCTCCCCGGGCAAGATGGCCGCCACGTGGCCACGGCCGCCGAGCGTCGCGTGAGGCGCGAACCCAGAGCCCCGGTCCTTACAACAACGCGAAAGGTGTCCAACTTACTGCGACGATTACATGCCTGATAAAAACAACAACAAGAGTGAGATTTAAAATCACACACGCGCGCAATACGTATTCAAGGAAACTACGGTACTGAATTTGATGTTTGACGGGGAAGGAGAATTTGTTACATGTCGGTTTTAAAGCCATATTTACAACAACACAAATGAACGTGTCAATGTTGACGTGGAGATTGCGTGGTGCGTGGAGGACCCTCCCGGTGCCCCGCGAGGTGCCTGCTAAGACTGCGCGCCACAGTCCACAGCCGCTCTGTTCACAACTATCGTACTCTTAACTATTGTACTCCCAGCTAGAGTGCTCTCTGCGGTAGCTCTTGTTGCTCTCTACTATACAGCGAGAGTGTTCGAGTTATCTTCACTGAAGCCATCGCCTCGACGGGAGCCTCTCCGACACCCGGGACGAGCCCCGCGCTCCGCGTGAAGGAGACGCCCGCCCGTCTCCCCGCTCCGTCTCCTCCGTCTCCGTCTCTCCGGGGGAGATGTCTCTGGACAAGGCGGAGCTGTGCGAAAGTCTCCTGAGCTGGGTGCGTGTTGCGAAACGACGGCCGGGAATTTACGCAGCTTCCACGTGCACTGTACGCGTCCTCTGGGGGGGGGGAGCGGTTTAGCGAACACCGGTGACGCGGATCTCAACCGGTCCTGGGCCTCTCCTAGGTCGACTCGGCCTCAAACGAGTACCTGGTGCGATACGTAAACATCGCCACTGGGGAGACAAAGGCAGCCGGGCGTGGTGCTCGCTAACAGCACTTTCCCCAACAGTCTGTTAAAGGCTCTCCGGGGGATCTTTGTCTCTGTGTGTGTAAACGTGTCCTCTGTGTGTGTGTGAGAATCTGCACTCTTGTGTGAGTATTGGTGAGCAGCGACCCGAGTTCAATTCCCGTCAACACCTCCCCTAGGTCGACTCAGCCTCAAATAAGCAGAGCACCTGGTGCAGTGTATAAACATGGCCACTAGGGAGACAAAGGCGTTCGGGTGGGAATGTACAGTTTTCTGTTCATGTGTATTTTGTGTGATTGTGCTCTCTGTGTGTGTCCTGTGAATTTACACTGAATGTGTATTATCTCTGTGAATGTGTACCAAATTCATGTGTACTTTCTGTGAATCTTTACTCTGTGTGTTGCTGTGTACACATTTCTGAAACTCCCTATCCCACGAGATGGCAGGACAGCAAGTGGACTTCATCCATCAGTGGGAATGTTATCCCTTCGTATGCCTGGGTTGTCTCCGGGTGCTCCAGTTTCCTCTTAACGTGCCAAACACTCTTTAGTGGAATTTGGCAAACGTCTGATCGCAGTCTGTGAAGTTTGGACTCGACGCGTGGGCAGAGGGTGGCAAAGTGTATCGAGTCAGCTGTGGAGGTACCAACTGTGTGACTCATGGGTCTTCATCTTACAACACAAGCCACACGTCTTGTATGTATGTATGTTGAACTTCTTTCGCAAAGCACGTAGCCAACTGTTCTAATCGGCGGTGCCTTATTTAAGCATCACATCAGTGCAGATTGCTTTTCGGATAACACTCTGAATGTAGTGTTAACTGTTGCTCTACGTCAACTGGCGAACATTAAACCAGGGGAGCCCTCTAAAAAAAATCTCACAACATTTCTGGTGGAAAATGCATGCAGTTGGTTGACCATTTGCCACTATTCTGGCAAATCGCCCGATGATGCTGGATGTAATTAGTGTACCAGCGAAACGTCGTGCTCAAATGGCGAATGTTGTGGATTTACTTTCCAACACACGGGTGGGCTGAAGTAGTAACTAATTAGCATTTTGTTTACGTGAAAAATACCTTACTAATTGGCTGTATCGGGTGGTGGAGGGTTACGACACATTTATATTTATGCGATCTAACCCAAGCCTACGTGTTAAACTGACAGATAAACCTTATGCTCAAGTGAACCAATCACATTCTGGGCAAGTCAAATTAATTTCAATTTCCATTATGCCTGGCTTTTGTAGACAATGAAAATCCATTTGACTCAGCAGAAGCTGATGCAGTCACCCATGCTCTCACAAATAAAGGTCTAAATGAAACATCTATTGAGACAACAAGGCCTATTTACAAAAATGGAAAATCTACACCGAGATTATATACATTTGGGCGGTGACATTTCCCAGTGGTTGCGTGTTCACCACTATCAGCAGAGGTTTGCGGTGTGAGTGTGCCAGGCCACCCTAGTTTTTTGTGCAAGTGTATTAATAGTTAAAATACACACCGTAGGCTTCACAGAGGACGTTAAAGATCCCGATGATGTCATTCAAAACGAGTAGGCCATTGTTTACTGGCATCACGGTCCAAATTTGAAAACTACCCTCAAATTACCAAATGGGAATTACACACAGCATCATCGCCTCCTACTGGCAGACTAATGCCTGATTGCAGGTCGGGTGCGGAGTCACCTTGTGCCGCACAGGGATGGCTACCACTTGGGGTGCCCTTTTAGATGTGTTGAGATGAGATGTAAGTTGCTTGTAAAGTACTCTGAGACACCATGGCGTAAAGGGTGCACTATCAAACACAAATGAGTATTATAAATGGACTCTCACCTGGTTCAAACTAAAGTGCATTGTTTGTGGACAGGAAGTGGGTTTTTAATCTATTCTCGTGTGTTTTTGCTCTCTTACACATGGGATTTATCTGTGCTCTGTGCTGCTTTTCCTTCCATGTGCAAAAACTGCTGAAGGAGTCCCCGAAATATTCCAAGCAGAACCTTGCAGAAAACGAATGTTGAAATTCACTGACGCATTCCTGGTTAAAATAAATAGTTTAAAGATTTGGGCGAATGGTTGTGCATGTGTGTGCAGGTACGGGCGTATGGATTCGAGGTTCCATGCGAGGATGTCTCGGACCTCACAGACGGCGTTCTCATGGCCCACGTGTTGCACCGCATGTGAGTCGCTGATGCGCGTTCGCGCAAACCCACATTAGCTCCTGCTGAGTGACAATGACTTCACCGTGATGCTTGTGCCAGGCTAGGTGCATTTTGAGGCTTTGTGAGGAGATGAAGTCTGTATGGTAGAAGATCATGGGACAGACCCAGGACTTATGGTTAAGAAATAACTGGCAGATGACCCACCTGCTCTTGCCAGGGTTGATTGAGAGTATTATTAAGTCATAAACTTTTTTTTTTATATGGGCCTGATCGATATAAAAATTTATATATATCGACCCCGTCAATATGAAAATTAAGAGTATTATTGAGTCAACGACTTATCATAAGTCTTGAAATGACATCTCATTCATTGAAACTGGTGGAGCAGTTAGGGAGCAGTTGTCTAGATATGTACAAGGATACGCACATGCAGATTAGCCACGTTTTACTTTGATGCTCCTACGAATCTCAAAGCTGATTGGTCTCCAGGTAAGATAGAAGTTATTATTGCAGATTTCAAACTAAACAAACATATAAAAAAATCGTATTATAATATTTGTGTAAGGGATCCACACAAGCAATTCTCCAGCCACTGCATTTTGAGAAAATGACAAATGTAGGACATGCCTCATTTGTGTTGCACTGGAGCTCCGAAGGTAATCTGTTTGATCAGTCACTCAATAAGTTAACCTGAGTGCAAAGTGTGCTGATATCTGGCTCTAACATCTCACTATGGTGGCGAGATGTTAATTGCCTCGCCTGATATACAGGACTTAAAGCTTTCGTCATTGCAAAAATTCATTTTCTTTGGGTCTTTCGGTAAAGCCACGTAGATAGAAGAAATAATAAAAATATGACGTTGCGATCGCAACACAAGCAATCGTCATCAGTTGAGGCAGGATCTTATCAGCTCTCCTGCTATTTTTTCACCTGATGACGTTTGCTTGTGTTGCGATCCAAACGTCGTGATATTTTTATTATTTCTTCTATCTACGTGGCTTTACAGAAAGACCCGAAGAATATGATATACAGGAGTTTTTTGGATTCGATCCTGACCCCGATACCTGTATATTTGGAGTTTTCATGTTCTTCCTATAGTCGCATGGATTTTTATTCGGGTCCTCCAATTTTTCCCTCCGTATTTAGAAACACGCGCGTAGAGTATTTAGCTGCTATACATTTACACATGATTAGCCACTTCGTTGAGCAATCATGTGGCCAGGTCGACTCTAAAAAAGAGCTTTCTATCTCAGTGGGCCTTACCTGGTAAAATAAAAAATTGTTTAGTTTGGTTTGCTCACAGAGGTGCATACACTACAAGCCAGCCTGTGACTCCATATGCAAAGGGCAGGCCTTCTATGTCTATGCTTGTAAAACGTGGATTCCTCTACAATCACAAAAGATGTGGACCTGACTGAACAGTGTGCTCATGGGGCGTTATGCAGTAGTGCAAAACTGCCACATAAGCAGATGGTGGTGCTTGGCCATGGCACTCGATACCATTAACAATGGGTGTCTAAATCTGGCCTGATCTCCTAGGCTGACTTAGTCAAAAATAACTGTTGTAGGAGTGCGGTGAGTCTTGGCGCTGGGAAGACCTCTTGCCGATTCTCCTTAGCATTGTCCGTCACAGATGTGCTAGACTACTCCTCACTGTACTTAGCCCCCTCGTCCGTATGGTTAAATGGAGTATTTATGCTTTTGTCGGACGTAAACACGTACACGATCCGTAGTGGTGCAGGATAACGCAGCGTGTGTGTGTGCGTGTACGTGTACAGCGATCCGGGTTGGTTTGATGTGGACTTTGTCGCCCGCATTAAGATCGATGCCAGGGACAACTGGAGACTGAAGGTGAACACTGACTTTGAGCACCATTTATTATTTTTATACTTGTGGAAACACGTTACTGCTTCTGTAGTTGTTTACATTGCACTGTACTTTCACACACACGTGTGTAACCTCTGGTTACAATGTAGGAACCGTGCAAATTCGACAACACTTCTGCAAGAGCTATAAAACTTCTTCAGAAAGCTCTAAAACTATACATGCTGGGGCACTGTCCCGCCCCTTTTGGAATTCCCTTCCCTTGGAGGTTAGAAACTCACAGGTGCTGGATAATTTTAAGTCCCAGCTGAAGACCCACCTCTCCTCTCTCCAGTTCTCTATCTTGTCTCACCTTCGTAGTTCTTTCACTGGTTACTTAATCACGTATTCTTTCTTTTTGTGCACGGTGCTCTGAGATCCACTGTAAAGGAGCGTCTTAACAGTGGATTTTTATCCAGGTTCTCTGGTTTTTCCCACCACATTTAGAAGCATAAATTTAGAGTATCCGGTTGCTATAAATTTCCATGTGATAAGCCACTTAGTTAGCTATCATTTGTGGCCAAGTCGCTTCTGATAAAGAGCTATATAGCTCAGTGGCTCTTACCTGGTAAAATAAAAATAGTTTAGTAACAGTTTTAAGAGTGCCTTATGATTATAACTCGTTATTATATCACACCCTGTATAATCAGTTGGGTTTTTAGATATCGTTCTTTGTGATTCATTGTCAATAATGACGATTATCGCATTCAGTTAACTAATCTTGGACAGTAATAATTAGCTCTGCATAACACTTCAACGTTATCAAAGTCAATTGAATGTTCTTGTTGGCAAGCATGCTCTGCCACTGCTGACAGTTGTGTTTGTGAGCATTTAATGTTCCTTTGGTGTTCTTTTAGTCTTAGAGAATCAATTGAAATTGAGAAGAATTCAAATAATTTTAATCGCTGTGATAGCTATAGACTCAGCGCAGCCTGGAAGTGTATTATTAAGTAATACACAACACATATTGCAATTCCTTACAGGTGAGTCACATGCTAAGTGGCTGATTACTGATCTATTACATAATTGCATACACCTCCGCCTCTGATCTCCAATCCTGATGGGGTTCAACAAGGATGACGTCATCCTGCACTATTTAAGACCGGAAGCAGATGGATGGCTTCACTATTCTGGCAAATCGGCCAAAGATGCTGGATGTAATTTTCAGCGAACCGTCGTACTCAAATTGTAACTGTTATGGATCCATTTTTCAACACACCGGTGGGCTAAAGTCGTGAAATATTTGTCTTTTGTCAACGTGACACATTGTTTGCTGATTGGCTGTGTCAGGTGGTGAAGGGTTGCGACACATTTATAAATAACGCGATCTAATCCAAAAACTTTTATTATGAGGAAAGTTTTAATGTAATGTATACGAGTGATTTATGTACAACTGTAATGATAGAGTTTGTAATTTAATACATTTTTCATGAGAAAATAAAAATTTAAGAAAAGTAGCCCTAATCACGATGTGATAATATTTTTTTAAACTAACTCTACGACGATTGTGGACGTTACATCGCGTGGTGGGTCATAGTATCATCCCGGTAACTCTGATATTTAGTCTCTATCAACATTATTCCTTCATAAATTTACTTATTTACAATTCTAAAGTGAATAACTTCATGATGAGGGAAACATTTATCTTTGCTCGTGCAAGAGTCTGGTGCGGCTTATCTGTATTGGTGGTACGGAGCAAGTGGTGGGAATGTTCTGGTACAGGAGAACTCCTCTTATATGTGACCCTATTATTCACAAATCCTGTTTTCCGTGGGAGTTGTAGAGTTCGTGAAAATGCATATTATCCGCAGCCCTATTCTTATTCATAATAAAAGTAATTTTGGGCTAGAGCGCGTAAATACAAATGTGTCCGTTAACCAACCATCCGACACAGCCAATCAGTAAGGTTTGACACAAAAGCAAAACGTGCCCATTGGTTACTACTTATTTGCCATCTTCCACGACTTTTCCCATGAATCAACGTGAGACGGCGTCTTATTATCCGCACTGCTTTTCCAGATAAGAGGAGATGCACGACAAATTAGTGTGCTGCCAAAGTAAGGCATTTGCATTGATCACATGGGGACACAAATAGACTTGCAAATACACAGGGACACATACAATGTGTGTTGTCAGCATTCCCATCCAGAATTTATCCCCCATCCTAGCATCTTGAGTCTGGGCTGAAGATGATTTACCGTTGCTACTACACCTGATCGTTTGAATTGTTTTGTTTTACAGTTGAGTAACCTCAAGAAGATTTTGAATGCCCTTCTCAGCTACTACAGCGAGGTCAGATCTGTCACCAAAAAACTCCCCTCTTCCCTCGCTCCACGCATCCCCTTGCTGAGTTCCCGCTTTGTACTCGGCACGCTCACTCACGATGCATCGCAAAGTGCCTTCAGTCCATTGGCCCAAATCTAAATTGAATATATTTAAAAAAATTATTCTTACACCTGAGATTTTGGGCATTTATCGTGAGTCTTAAGATGTGATGTTAATTGATGTCCCGTTACACTCCTGATAAGCAGCCCAGTGTACACCTGCTCAGTAACAGTACTTATAATCGGTGTGTGGGCCAGTATCGAGGGCCTATTATGTTTATTTGTACTAGTGACATAATGTGTGCTCACCGATGTTGATGTATTTGTGCGTGTGCTGCAGGCCGCTCACTGATATCCATGTACACGTTTGAGCATGTGCTGCCACTACACTCAATGTGTCCTTACAGTATACCGAGCCTGGCACAAGCACTGCCACTGAGTAGTGATTGGCGCCTGTTGTGTCCTGCTTGACTTAGGTCCGTGCATACGTGTGCATTGCAGGTCGTGGGCCAGCCAGTGGCACAAGATGCCGTGCCAGATGTGTGCCTGATGGCAGAGCATGGACACCGGGGAGAGACTGGCAAGGCCCTTCAGCTCATCCTTGGCTGTGCTGTTAACTGTGACAAGAAGGAGGGTGAGTCTGAATAGTCTTTCAATACGATAATCATTTGCTATCCTGGCAAGCTCTAGACTAGTTATTCTCGGTATTTTTTTAACTGCAGATTTGTGATGGACTGGACTTGTAAGAGTGTGGTGGTAACAGATGTTCTGGAGTTCTGTGGATCACTTTTAACCCTAAAATGTTTTTTGCGGACTACTGTCCAGTAAAATCTGGTCTTTTGTGAAACAAATTGTAATATTTTCAGCGGTTCTGTAGACCACTTCCCGAGGTTTTGTGGATCCACCAGGGAGTGGTCTGTGGACCACAGGTTGGGAACCACTGCTCTAAATAATAATAACAATAAAGGGTATGGAGCGGTGACGCGTGACAAGACGTCATAGGTGTCTGTGACGTCCCGAATCGACATGTGATGGCTTGGCTGATGAGGATTCCACGGTGGCATTGTCATCGTCAATTTTGAAGCTACTCACCCTGATCGCCATTGCATTGACTGCAGGACCATGTTGTGTGATGGTGGCGTACACATCTTAGCTCTCAGTAAAATAAATACTGCAACTTACAAATGTCAACATTAATTTTTATGCACATTATTATAAATTTTGTCTTGATTTGAGGCTTTCGTGACTGCAGGAATCCATACTCTTTGGTTCTTTCGGTAAAGTAACGTAGGTATAAAATAAAATAAATCACGACATTTCAATCGCAACACAAGCGGTCGTCCTCAGGCGGAAAAAATATAATCCAGCAGTGGAACTGTTGAACCAGCGAGAGAGCAGTTACAACAAGAGGTTATATATGTGGTAGCGAATGTTTTAATTGAGAAATTTGAGACCGATGCCATCCAGACATCCACCCTACGTCCTTCCTTGTGGAAGAGATACGTAGATGACACGTTCGTCATCTGCCCACATGGCCTGCCAGCACTAAACCAATTTCTCAACCACATCAATTTTATACACCCGTCTATCAAATTCACCATGGAAGTGGAAAAGGATGGCAAGCTTCCATTCCTGGATGTTTTGATCGAGAAGAGACCTGATGGCTCGCTGGGACATTCGGTCTACAGGAAAGCCACCCACACGGATGCCTATCTAAAGCCTGACTCCCACCACCATCCAGCCCAGAAGTATTCCCTTATCAAAACACTACACCATAGGGCCCGTTACATCTCCGACCAGCACCACCTAGCTAGTGAGTTGGAGCACGTACACCAAGCCCTCAGGATGAACGGAAACTCGGACCATACAATCCGCAAAGCTGCCTCCCCAGCCATGGGGAGACAACCTTCTGAGGATCCAACCAAAACCATCACTTTACCATACATAGCAGGGGTTACCAAAAAGATTTCCAAAATCTTAAACAAACACAAGATCCAGGTTTGTTTCAACACAGTACATAAAAAATAAACATAATAAAATAATTCTCACGACGTTTCGGCCACAACGCAAGTAGCCGTCCTCAGGTGGAGAACAGGTCTGTCGAGGAGTCTGAATGACAAGCCCCAGGCTTGGAGCGACTATTTAAGCTGGGATGGAGGGGCGAAGAGTGCCTTGACAAAATAATTTGCATATCAAGAGGAATTTAGCATATTTTTGGGAAATGCAGATAGTGTAAGACTAAAAGAACACCAGAGAAATATTAAACTATCACAAACACAACTGTCGGCAGTAGCAGAACATGCATGCCAACAGGGACACTCAATTGATTTTGACAACGTGGAAGTGTTGTGTAAAACTAGTTACTACTGGCAAAGACTAATTAGAGAATCGATTGAAATTGAGAGAAACAGAAATAACTTTAATCGCTCAGACAGCTACAGGCTTAGTGCGGCCTGGAAGCGTATTATTAAATAAGATACATTACAATTACTTATAAGGGAAACCACTAACTGATTACTAATGTAGCATAATCACAATAAAACACATTCCAAATGATTACTAATCTACAACTCGCATCGTAACAATAGCCTGATTACTAATCTAGTATATAATTACAATCACTCCCCCCTTGAATCTTTGCACCTGATGAGTTAATGAGTTAATGATGACGTCACCCTGCTGCTGCTCTATATAAGAACGGGAGACACAGGAGAGCCTCACCATTCTGGCGAATTGCCCGATGATGCTGGTTGCAATTACCAGCGAAACGTCGTACTCAAATTGTAAATGTTGTGGCTTCAACACACCGGTGGGCTAAAGCAGTGAACTATTTGTCTTTGTCAACGTGACACATTTTTACTGATTGGCCGTGTCGGGTGGTGGAGGGTTACGACACATTTATAAATAAACGCGATCTAAACCCAAAAACGTTGATTATGAAATGCAGATATGCGATTAGTACTACTTGTGAAATGCGTAGGAGGTTTGGCGAGGGGTTTAAAGTCATTATGCCCGTGCATTATGCAGGATTAGCAGCATTAAAGGGAGGGGATAGGGGTAGCATTAATAAAGGGAAGGTTCCAAGAACACAGGATGAGATGTTACTATCCTTTGTGCAAGCACTTCCAAGAGTTCATGAACAGCGAGCCTGGTGAAATTTGGGGAGCGCATCGTCAGTAGTGTACCTTTGGTTCCTAGGGTGTTTCGGCCTTTCATACTATACACCCTCCCCAAAGGTGGCCAGCGACAGGGTGATCAATCCTACGCTTGCGTCCCATTCCCAATTAGTCATAGGAGTTGCCTTGTTGTTGATAGCCAACATCCCATGGGACTATGCATGGCAGGGGCGTCCTCCTCCCTGAGTCAAGCATTGTTGACTGCATACCTCCTGGCCCTCTCACTTCGGGGCCCAGCTGGGGTCTTTCCTCTTCATCCAGAGCCACTGACTGCTGCCTTCTGCAGCCTCCGATACAGCTCTGATTGCCGAACGCTGGCTCTGTCCCTTAATTCCCAGGTCTCTAAGCAGTCTGGTTGTAGATGTTGCCACAAAACCTCTGCAGCCCACCTCCACTGGTCGGACTTCTGTGTTCCAGCCATGATGCCGTGCTTCGGCAGCTAGATCGGCATAGCGCAGATGTTTTCGCTCATAAGCCTCATCTACTGAGTCCTCCCAGGGTACTGTGAGCTCGATGATGAAGACCTTCTTGAGCGAATGGGACCAGAGCACCATGTCAGGTCTTAGGGTGGTGGTTGCGATCTCCGGAGGAAACACAAGTTGCCGGCCAATGTCAGCTAGCATTTTCCAGTCGCGGGCCAAGCGCAGCTGGTCTCGCTCTAATGGTGTAGAGCCGCTCTTCGGTGGTTTAGCCCCTTCGCGGACAAAGGTCGTCCGTAAGGGGTGTGATGCTGCTGGGGGTGGTAGGGAGTTGATGGCAGCTCGCTTGTCCTCCAGGGCGGACGCAAGGTTTTTTAATTACTTGGTTGTGACGCCAATTGTAGCGCCTTTGGGTGAGGATTGTTTTACACCCTGTGAGAATGTGCCTGAGGTTGGCTGGCATAGAACAGAGGGCACAGTCCGGATCTTCACCATACCATTGGTGAAGATTAACTGGTGTTGGAAGGACGTCATATGTTGCTCTGATGGAAAAGCTCAACCGCCTCGCTTCCATGGCCCACAGATCCTTCCAGCTGATCTTCCTCTTCTCCACACTGTCCCATCGAGTCCACTGTCCCTGTTTGGCAAGAGAGACTGCCTTGGCCCACCTTGCAGCCTCCTCCTGATGGCGTTCTTCCTGCACTACCATCTTCCGCCACTCTGGTGCTGTGGCCTTACTCCAAGCAGCACGGCTAGTTAGCCCAAGGCCTCCTCTCCCTTGCTGAACATGACCCACAATGTCAGCATGTCTGAGGGCTGCTGTTGCCTCCTGGACTGCTTTTCCTGGCCTCCATTTGCGCCCAGTTGCCAAGGTCGGCGCGTTGTTGCTCACCACTGGGTCTCGAGATTCATTCAGTGTCATCTGGAGCCTGGTTTTTGCACACTTGAATTCCTCTGTTAGACTGGTGAGGGGCAGCTTGAGGACACCATCTCCATAGAGGCCTATGGTGGTAAGGCATCGTGGAACTCCGAGCCACTTCTTTAAGTAGCTCGTGACTCCTCTTTCCATCTTCTCCACTGTTGAGATTGGAACCTCATACACTGCTAGGGGCCACAACACCCGTGGTAGGAGACCAAACTGCAGACACCAGGCCTTTAACTTTCCAGGTAGCTGGGTGTTGTCGATGGACTGTAGGCTACTACTGATGTCTTTGCGCAGCTGTTGCACCTGGTCTTTGTCCTTCAGGCTTGCATCATACCACCTTCCAAGGCTTTTTACCGGCTGCTCAGACACTGTTGGGATTTTGTCATCTCTGATGAAGAATTTGAGGTCAGAGAGTACTCCCTTCACAATCGAGATGCTGCGTGACTTGGATGGTTTATTCTTCATACGGGCCCAGCTGATGTTCTCCTCGAGTTTTCTGAGCAGTCTCCTGGTGCATGGGACAGTGGTGGTCAATGTTGTAATGTCGTCCATGTAGGCTCTGAGTGGAGGGAGGCGGAAACCAGAGTCGACTCGCTGTCCACCAGCAACCCATTTTGAGGATCTGATGATAACCTCCATTGCCATTATGAATGCCAACAGAGAAATGGTGCATCCCGCCATTATACCTACATTCAGGCACTGCCATGAGGTGGTGAACTCTGAGGTGGTGAAGCAGAACTGCAGATCCTGGAAGTACGACTTCACCAGGGTTGTGATGGTGTCCGGTATGTGGAAAAATCTGAAGGCAGACCACAGGAATTCATGGGGCACAGAGCCAAATGCATTGGCGAGGTCGAGGAAGACTACATGGAGGTCCCTTTTCTCCACCTTGGCCATTGGGATTTGGTGCCAGATCATGCTGGAATGTTCCAAGCAGCCAGAGAACCCTGATATCCCTGCCTTCTGTACAGATGTATCGACGTACGCATTCCTTTGCAGGTACTCGGCCATCCTCTGGGCAATGACCCTAAAGAAGATTTTACCCTCGACATTCAGTAAGGAGATTGGGCGGAATTGGCTGATGTTCACTGCATCCTTCTCCTTAGGGATCAGG